AAATATATATGGAAATGTTTTTATATTGTTGTTTGTATCTATAGATATATTTTTGGTACATTTTAAGGTGCATTAGAGATTGCCTCATGGTATATGATAATTTAATTATATTATAGTTATTGAATACTAATTATAAATAGTAAAATTATTTTTACTAAGGAAAATTATAATATTGTTGTAAGTAAAGTTCTTGTTATTTTTTATATGATACTGAAAATGATAGTTTTAATTAGGATATCTATACACAGTCAGTATGTGAATTTTAAAAATTTATTCTTGCAAGTTTTCAGTTATGTAATTTTTCACAAAACCTGGCTCTACATGTTAAACATATAAAACGGCTGAATACATTTAGATGAAACATGATTTATTAATGTCTCTTCATGTTTTATTTACTTGCTCATTTGCATGTAATACCAGACTAAATACTAAATACACATACACATCGTTTGCCTTATTCAGAACACTCACAGGTGTTTCTTTTGGGAACTATGTTTGCACAGTAAACCTCTGATGAAAGAATGTGTAAACTTAAGTCTACAAAAATGCTGAGAAATTAAGAAGGGGATGAAAAAATAAAATCATAATATACTCAATTATGGGAGAGAGAGAGAGAGAGAGAGAGAGATATATATGACCCTCTTGCATCATCGCATTTTATCACCTGTGAGAAATGTCTCATCTGGATGGAGCCTGATTGAAGTCTTTTCAGCAGTGATAACCATCTGCTCTTAACCGCTGGAGGAGTTCCATCCTTGCCCTGTGGCAGTGGTAAGAGAGGTTGCATATAGTAAGGGTTGGGGTCGTGCTTAAGCGAAATTAGATATTGGTGTCTTGAAAAGAGTGATATCTAAAAAAAAAAATTTGTGTGCACAAAGTTATTGCTTCTTTTGGGGAGAAAGGAGGAATACAATGTTATTTTGAAGTAAATGAAGCAAAAAAGATTTCTTGTTGGAACAGCTTAACAGATATGGTATTGGAAATTATTTAAATTAAAAGTAATTAAATTGTGCTATTCAGTATATGTGCCGATTGTGCATCTCGCATTAAAGTTATTATCAATTTCTTTCAGGCGGCGGTAGATACTTAGCACCTAGAAATACTCTTGGCATGACGTCACGGGAAAGATGGAGTGTCGACAGATAGGTTACCTCTTCTTGGGGTTTGCAGTGTTTGTGTCTGTCATGTATTGGTCTTCGCCAAGTCATATACATAGTGAACTCAGAGCTCAGTACATAAAGGTGAGTTTTCTTTTTGGTGATCATTTGAAGCTAGAAACAAAAAGATATTTGGTAGCCTTTATTATGCTTTGTCAGTAGGTATACTTTCTGATAGTCTTTTTCTTGACTATAACAAAACAGTAGCTTGGTACAGGTTAAATAGTCTTTATTATGCTTTGTCAGTAGGTATACTTTCTGATAGTCTTTTTCTTGACTATAACAAAACAGTAGCTGGCACAAGGTAAATATCAATTTTGTCCGTGTTTAATGATGGTACTATCCCCTGTCCACATTCTTCTATAAAGAAAAAAAATACTTAAAAGATAAGGAACATTTGCTAGTATTCCCGAAAATTGAGATGGTCTCCATAAAAGAAGGAAAATATTTTGAGTGTTGAGGTAGTAAGGGAAAGCCAGGAACAAAATTCTCTTCAATGTACCCATCTATGCAGAAGAACCGACCGAACTTCGTGTTCATTCTGACGGACGACCAGGATGTGGTGCTGGACGGCATGCTTCCCATGGCTAATGTAAGGAAACTGATTGCCAAGGAAGGCCTCACTCTCTCCAACTCCTTTGTTGCCAGTCCACTCTGCTGTCCCAGTAGGTAAGTTTCAGCAACCATTACACTTTTACTCGTTTGTATTTTACTTTAAGTTGTTATAGTTGTAATTTTTTTGTTTGTTTTTAACTCTCTGGAAAGCTAAGATTTTGTCTTGATTCATTATGAAAGTAGAAAATGTGTCTGGAAAGTATGTTTTGCAAATATCTTATATATTTATTAGAAAAACAATGTATTATACTGGATTCAAAATGGAAAATTGTATCTGTTTCATTGTTTGAAATATCATTTGCAATTATTCATTGAATATGCTTCCAAATTTGTGTTCTTTCTTCTCCAGGTCCAGCATTTTAACGGGACAGTATGTACACAATCATATGGCCATTAATAATTCACTGAGTGGCCAGTGCAGTGGTACGAGGTGGCAGGTTAGTTCCAGTTAATTTTTATTAATACATTGGTACTGGGTACATGCGTTATGGATTGTAGTTTTGTTTCGTCACCAAGGAGGCAATTATTAGTCCTAGCTGGGCTCACCTATTCCTTAAACTTATAAGGCATACAGACTATCTCATAATAAGTCTTTACATAATTGTTAGCCTTGGCTTTCCATTTGCCCAAAACAAAGAGAGAAGTGGTGTTTGTAAAAATTGCTTATAAAGTAGTCAAATATTTAGTATTTTGATATATAGCATTCCAAACTTTGATTCTTTATAATGTGCCTTTTAGTTCAAGTTTGATTGTATGATACCATTTCTATTGTATGATACAATTTCAGATGAAATGATAAACTTAGTTAGAAGAATTTTAATCCCAATGCTGCTGGGAAAATATTGTGTTCACTGTAGTACTGTTCTGTCAAATGCTTCTACACATAGATGGTTCTGCTATTTCTTAGCCACAAAGGGGTCAGTTAGTAGACCTTATGACCTCACCTGATTTCACCTTTCCTTCAGTTTGCAGGAAAATTTTTTTTTTTTTACTAAAGCTATCAATATTGATACTGTTATTTTCATTATAAATATCTTAATTACAGTAGTATTATTGACATTATTAACAACAATATTGATTACCAGAAAATATAAAAAATCAAGGAAAAGGGCAAATAGGTGGGACAGGTAGTTCTTGTGATTTGCTCATTGGTGACAAAGTACTTGCGGAGCCATCTATGTGTAAAAATAATTACTAAATTAAGCACATAATGGGATGGCATGTACGCCATCCCCGACGGCATTTGGTTAAGTAATAAATAAGAGTGTCTTGTGTATGTCACAATATAAGCAAAAGCTGGTCTTATCAGGGATAATAAACGTATTTCAATGATTTTACTGGAAGAAGAGGAAGAACTTGATTGTTACCATATTATATGCATATCTATTTTAAGCCTTCTCCTGTTTTCAGATGGGGCCAGAGAAGAGGACTTTTGCAACCCATCTTCACAACTATGGCTATGAAACATTTTTTGCTGGGAAATACTTAAACCAATATGGCCATGAGAAAGTTGGAGGAGTAAAGCATGTCCCACCAGGATGGGACTGGTGGTTTGGGTTGAAGGGAAATTCGCGATACTACAATTACACACTCTCTGTCAATGGAATGGCTGAGGAGCATGGGACTGACCCTGACAAGGACTACCTCACAAAGGTCATAAGTGAGAGGGCCCTTGAGTTCCTGCACAAGTCATCATTTGAGAAGCCCTTCTTCATGATGCTGTCAGTGCCGTCTGCACATGCACCCTTCACCCCAGAGCCTAAGTACTCTGGCAATTTTTCCTCCCTCAGAGCACCCAGGACGGAAAACTTTAACATCAAAGCAGGTGAAGGTAAACACTGGCTGATGCGGCAAGGTGTTCAGCCTCTCCCGGATGACGTTGTTAACAAAGTTGATGACGTCTTCAGGAACAGACTCAGGACACTTCTCACGGTGGATGACATGGTGAAGGATGTTGTGGAATACCTAGAGGTGGTGGACGAACTTAAAAATACCTATTTAATATTCACATCTGATAATGGGTATCACTTGGGGCAGTTTTCTCAACCTCTAGATAAAAGGGAACCATATGAGACGGATATCCGGGTACCTTTTACAATTCGAGGCCCTAACATACCGTCAGGAATGGTGAACACATTCCCAACAACTAATATTGACCTTGCGCCAACTATCCTGGACTTAGCTGGGATACGGATACCCAAGTACATGGATGGTGTTTCACTAAAGTCAGAAATAACTAAAACTAAATCAACAGGTGTACACGTTGTGTTGAATAGCATTAGTCTTTCTGAGGAAGAGCTGCTTAAGAGGGAGTATCAGATCCCAGGTTATCCTCAGGTACGAAGAACCATGTTAGTGGAACACTCTGGAGAAGGTGTGGAAAAAAATAAAGGATGTGAGTTCATGGGCTCAGGTTTATCTGGTTGTAATCCTAACTTTGCTTGCAAGTGTGAGGACTCGTGGAACAACACATATAGTTGTTTAAGACAGGTAAGCAGTGAGCAAAATTTTCTGTTTTGTAAATGGGAAGATGGTGAGTCATTCCAAGAAATGTATGACCTGAAGAGCGATCCACAGCAACTGAACAATACAGTTGGAACAATAAAGAAAGACGTCCACAAGAAGTTGAATAATCTGCTTCGCAATTTAAAGAGATGTAGAGGGGTAAGGTGTGCAGAACTCTCTAGTTTTGTTATTTAGCAGTATTAAATTGTACAGTGTAAATTTATTTTTTGAATACAGAATATTGTGATATATAAATTTTTAATAATGCTTTGTGATGTTTCTGACTCAGCACAGTGGGAGAAACCTGGAAATACTATATTTATCAAATAGATTGATATATATATTTTTATTTTTTTTTATTTATATTTTTTTGTTGAGAAAAGAAATTCCAACTTTGCCTGTTTTCTGTTGGAAGTTGTCTATCATGGGTTACTGTAAAATAGTAAAGGTAATGGAAAGGTAAATAGAGGATGGGCTAAATTGGCATCTCGGGGTTGAGGGACTTGATGAGATTGACAAGGAAGTCACTTTCCTTTTGACTTGTTTGGACACTGCAAGTGCAAGATAAAATTGAAGGGGTCAGCAGCCTCCTGTGATATTAGACATTAAGTTCACTCATTGCTTCAAGTAACTGTTAATGGTAATTAAAGCAACATTCACATATGTGTATTGTTTTTACATACAGGGAATGGAGACTGGTTCATCCCATGTTATGATGATACAGAACCGCATGTTGTATATTACAACGATTTACTAAATACTAGCTAAACAGAAATGTAGATAGAACTTGACATATTTTTGTAAACTCCATTTAGTTGTTTCTTTGCTTTCTTTTGCTGTATAGGCACTTATGAAAAAAAAGGAAATCTGAAAGTGATATTCAAGTGTTCATTTCCTTGCCAAAATTGATAACAGTATTATCTTTATTGTTCTTGTTCAGCCTTTGAGTATCTCAGTTCATGACCACTTCTGGAGATGTGAATAGCGTTGTTGGTTTGAATTCCCTGATTGGCAAAGAATTTCAGAATATGGGAAAGGTATTAATTTTATTTTTCTAAAACAGAAACTTTGGCACCTTAGCCTGGGATATTTCCATTTAATAAAAGAAGAAAAATTCTTGTAGTAATTTTTAGTTGTGAAGATTCTTCCTCAGATGTCTTCCAGTTTTTATTTTAATATTGAAATCACTTGGATTCAAGTTATGATCTATGAGCTGGAATACATCTATCTCTTACCATGAGAGATTCCCTCGGGTTGGTCGATCTATTATCTCTTTACAGTAACATATAATGATTGGAATGTTACATTACTGATTGAGGGTGCCTGGTGGCAGTGTGCCCAACTGCTCGAGACAGTGACACATTCTCTCTGTGGACTCTATACCAAGCATACGTATCTGCGACATGTTGATCACCATGTGGAATTTCCGCTCTCAAGTGATTATTAGGATTATATATGGACCTCCAAAAGCTCGAGTGCTAGAAGAGATGGCAGTAGTCACAATTCGAGCTAGATGTTTATCCTAGTAGAAAAGGATATTGGCAGCTTGAAGAAAGGCAAACTGAATAGAGTATATACCTCATCATGAATACGCTCGCTAAATGTGTTAAAGGAACAATATAGACCCATTAAGGACTCCAGAATTCCTAATGAATTTTAAGTCCAAGAAGATTTTAATACAGAGAGTGATGCGTATGAGAGTAGAGGCCATCCTCTGTGCAGAGAAGACGTGTGTACTATTTGGAGAGCTTGAGTCATCAGCATTCATAGCAAAGCTGTTAATTACTAACCAATGTTACCGGACTAGACTCTTCATGATGGCAATTTTTATAGATCTGAGATTCCACCACTGTGGCGTCAGGGCAAAGGCGTAGATTGTATACACTATGGCTGCTACGCACTTGATAAATTATGTGAGAAGTAATGACCCCAGTATTGTCATTTTTATCATGTACGGCACCTTTGTACCCTTGCAGGCATGAAATGGATTAATGATTATTTGGGAGATCTGTTGCAGGAAAATGGACTTGCAGGTCGCAAGTTGTAAGTTTGCATACAAAACAAGACTGTGCACTTTCTGACCTTGTAGGATGCTTCAAAGAAAAGAAATAAGCCTTTCCTTGCTCTATCATCTAGAAAGGAAAACAATTTTCCAGTGGGTGTATGCTCAGCACTATAGTCATTAGTATATGCTTACTGTAACAAGAAATATTTTTTGGATTTCCCTTAAAATGATGTTGTAGTTCAGCAGTTTAGTTATCTGGAGAATGGTATGCGTTTGATTTACTTGTCTGGATATATGACAATATGAGAATTGATAATTATATTGATTCCTTAGGGTTCTCTTAGGTCTAATCTCCATTTCCCCCATTAGAATGGATAAGTAAGATAATAGCTTAAAAATAATAATAATATATAATGCTTTCATTCTCCATTAACATAATTTTTTTTAGATTTCTTTACATTTTTACTTATGTCAAAAGAAATTTAATCTCATTCTTACAATTATTATGTTTTTTGGGTATGCTCAGTGATGTTATATATATTTTTTTAATTTTATATTATCTGCTCTTGGCTCTTAGTTATATATTTACAAAAGGACATTTCAACTGTTTCTATACAAGATTCTCCGTTTCCCATCCCACAAATAAACATGTTTATGCACAAAAAATGTTGCCTTTTTCAAACTCCATGATTAGTTTGTTATTGCAGAAGGCTTATTCACATCTACAAGTTATATATTTAATGAATAATATATTATTTACAGAATAACAAACCTTTATTCATTACATATATGGAGAATATGGCATATTTGAAAATGAATATTTGTAAAAAGTAAGATTGGATTTATATTTATCACAATATATTACTAGAGTCAGAATGCATATGTTACATATATATTTTTCATCATAGTCAAGTATCTTATAAAGAAGATCACTATCTTTACAGTTAGGACTCCAATGAATTTGAACATTAAGGCCAGGATTGTGCCATATTTGTGTAATGAATTATAAAGCCTGTTTCCTTTCTAAAAGACTTTGTTTAGAATAGATTTTCCATATTTGTATATTAACATTTGAACAGACAGCACATGATGAGGCAGCCATTCATTGATGATAAGTAGAGGTATACTCTTTGATATAATTTGTGTATATACTGTTAATGGTGTAAGTATGTTTTCATTAATATATAATTATATAACACATACATCATGTTGTGATGATGCGCACATTGATACATGTTTAAATGTCATTTGCACAAATTTTGTAAGTATATGTGCATAAGTTAACAATGCATATATGTATGTATATTTGTATATAATATGTAATTTGTTATTTGTAATTAATAATATATATATATATATATTATATATATATATATATATATATATATATTATATATGTATATTGTATATATATGTATATTATGTATATATATGTATATTTGTGTAATATGTATATATATGTATATATATATATTATATAATAATATAATATATCAGTTATATATATATAATAATATCAATTTGTTTTATATTTCATATAATAATTTTATTTAGATGATTATAGATATTCATTATAATTCTTGTATTAATATACATACTTATATATGTTCGCGCTATAATATATATAATATATATATAATACTCATGATTTATAGTGTATTATTAGTATTAATATATATATACATAATCTATCTATCTATCTATATCCTATTCTACTTCTAGTTCTTTATCTATCTATCTATCTCAATCTACTCTACTCTATCTCTATCTATCTATTATCTATCTATCTAATCTACTATCTATTTCTATCTCATCTATCTATCTATCTCGTAGTATCTTAATGCTGAACTATCTACTCTAATATACTGTTATACACATTATTAATATGAGGACGAAGGTATATTAAAGGTTTATATGTATAATATAAGTTACTACTACTATATACCACACTATAAAGTAAAAATATCCAAATATAGTATAAATATATATATATAATAATATATATATTTAATATAATGTTTATATTATAACTACTTGTATATAGTGTAATACTACTTATATATATAGTGCAATCAATACATTATAATTATTATATATTTATATAACATATTATATAATATTATATAGTATTATACATCACATTATAACACACATATATATATACTGGTGTATATACACATGCAAATGTATATGAATAAAATTGGACCCAAAAAGTTTGTTTGACAGTTACTGTTAACAGTGTTCTAATTTTACTGTGTATAATTTGTGGAAATTAAATTCACTGCATCTATAAAGATAACTTCTATTCATGTTTCGTGATATCACATGGTGCTATATATATCTGTGATTGAATAATGCTGACATGGAAAGAGCTGATACCAATTACCTAAAACTTTTCAAGTAAACATTATCCTGAACAGAACTAGGGATACTCCCATATCCCGAATGTATATCTTGATATTTTTGTTCCTTCCCGTACATCTTTCAGAAATGGATGACGTTGAACTAATTATTTTTATTACTTCTTAGCTTGCTGTACTGTGCATATTGTCTGAGGATTGTTGCGTTCCTATGAAAGAAGTCCTTTGATCAACTATGTAAATTTTAAAGTAATAAAATAGTATGATATAAGAAAGCAATGTAATTATCTTTGAAAAACACAGGAAAGAGGACAGAACTTTAAATCTGACAAGCTCTTGAAATTGTTTTGTATATTATTTTCTTTACTTACAGTATGTATCATTGTGTTTGAATACAAAGCAAAAAATTAGGATAATGAAAATAAGTATAATCGATCTATGCACGTAAAAAAATAATACGACTTGAATAAATACTCTTTACCTCTTTGCATATAGTAATCCTCTGTTATTACCTTCATTGTTTGAGTGCCCATAATGGTGTAAAGATAATGATTGTGAAGGCTTTTGTTTTACTCAAATTGTGCGTCACTGAAGTGAATTAAATATATGTCTCAATAATTGGCTCTGATATTATAGCCTTTACCATAACATCAGTGATATACTTTGTGATTTCGAAATATGTTCTCAATAGTTCAAATTGAGTACTCTAGTATGACATGTGTATGAGGAATGCAAATGATATAGTTCAGGATAATGATTGGCGGTGTAAAATTTCTATATGTAAACAGTATTGCTACCTAATAATGAGATGGAAGTGTCCTGTAAATCCTTGAGACGACTCACTCCGATATTTTGATGTCCTGTTTCCTTAGCTCATTTTATTAAATAGTTGTTTATAAAGAAACTATAGAAAATCAAAAAGTAGAATATATCGAAAAATACCATATATTTATGAGGAATAATTAACGACACCATATAAATCTACTGAGTTCACTCTGAAATGTACAGTCATGCCCTGTAGGGTGATCTATGTTTCATGTTATTTTTTTATAATTTGTGAGAGATGCTTACGTGGACCCGGGGTGCGGTGGTGGCCAGTTCGTTCGGCTTCGATTTGCACTGCAGTAATGCTGTGTCGGCTGACGGTAGGACTGCTTCGACAGCTGAGTTGACTGGAAGGCAGCATAGGGGATTGCAGAAGCCAGCGCTCTAACCAACTGAGTCTATTGCTACTATCGCTCCTTGGGTGACTGTAAATTAAACAAAACTTTGCGGAGAGAGCGCGCGCAAACTACAATTGGGCATTACAAGGTTGTGTACGCAATTGGTTTTTAGACACTCTCTACACTCTCTCTTCACATGTGCCGGAGACACACTCCACAATTTCCGCATTAGGACTTTATGGGCCTATAATATGGTGAAGTCCAACTATTTTGGTTGTGCAAGACTATATTTATTCGAAGAAGAGCCACATATATATTTCTTTTTCAATTAGATTATAAATAATCTCTAAAATCTATTTTAGATTTTAATCTTTATCTATATCTGTATTTTTATATATAACTATATTATACTAGCTTTAGATCCAAGATTTCTAACAAATAATTCAATTAAATTGAAATATTTCAGAGAGTGCGCAATGGAAGTAATCTACTATAGGGGCTATTAAAAAGAATCTTTTTGTAAAGAAAATAATCCCTTTTCATGATTAGGGTTAAAGATTTTATTAAAATTATTTTAAAAAACTTTTTGGGAATACTATGAAGGCATTGTAAACGGACAAGTATTGTAAACTTTGTATGGTTGCAATGAGACAATTATGGTAAACTATTTAATTCCTGAAAATGATGTGGAAGATGTTGATGTGAAAAAAAGACAATTATTTTAACTTCTGAGAATCCATATTATCATTCAGCTTTTTTGTGTAGCCTTAAGATGTTAAAACATGCATGCAAGCTTGTCAACCACAATGAACAACCATACATGGTATGCTACAATAAAACACCACATTTTATTTTTTTATGCATGTATTTTATTAGTCCAATACACTGTGATAAACCAAGTAAATTTATTCAATTGGTGTGATAGATCAGATTAAATAATTGAATAAGTATATCTACTATAATTAAATTCTGCCATCTATTTAATGGAGTGTGGTGGGGTATATATAAAAGGACCTTTTAAAACAGAACACCTGGGGATATACAAGTAATAATAAAAAAAGTAAAAAAAAAAAAAAAAGTTGCAGGTATTTCTTGGGAGTTATCTTGAACAACACATAATTTCCGATACGAATTGAGAATAAAATCAATTGATTGTTGACAGAATCAGAAATAACAATTGGGTTTAAACACGTATATTTAATGAAAAGATCTTCGGAGTTTATTGACATTTGATATTTAGAAATAATCCTTACATCTATGAGTATTTAGGCTTAGGTGGTAACAACCTATTCATACAACATTTGAATGTAAAGATATTTGACAGTTTCACTATTACTACTTCTTTAAAAATGTCTTAACATAATTAATGCATTTCTGAAAAGATATTATCTATTAGTATCTTTAAATATACTAACTATTTTTTCCTGTCTCTAAAAAGCACTGTACTATTCATGAAAATCCAACAAGTTGCGGACTTGGATATATAGCTGCTATGCTTATAACACGCACATGCAGAGCACAACACTAAACACTTCATATAATCAGCATGTTCTCAAGGCAGTCAATACCAATATACTTAAGGCGTTAAGACCGTAAAAAGGTCACAGACCCGCAAGACTTTGCCAAGTTTTCCAAGTCAGTCCTGCTTCCCAGTCCTGAGAGGTAGGAGGCGATGGGTTTCTTGACGAGGTTTGTGTTTTTTTTTATTCTTGTTTGCCATGCTGTGTTGCTGTTGTTAAAGGAAAACGCATTTGGCTCTGGTATTTATTAATATAGGTTTACTGAGGTGGCTGCATTGTATTTTTAATCTTACGTTCAGGGTCAGCTGGATACTGAGCTTTAAATTTTTTCCGAGCATCCTTACCTCCGGTTGAAAAGACGCATTTTGATTTAGACTAATTATTATTTTTTATTGGTGTAATCACATTATTTTATATTTTTTTTTATTGGCTATTCATGTATTGACCTGAACACATAGAATGAAAGTCCAAAGCACCAAGGAGTGGAGTACTAGGCCTACCAGGCCTCACAATTGTATGCGCATGTCTTGATTTTTTTTTTATAACTATTATTGTAAGTAATGTTATTATAATAATGATGGCAATGATAATATAAATAACATAAGTAACAATAATAATAGTAATAAGGAAAACATTTTTTTCCCAAAAAATCAAGAAATGGGGTAAACAGGAAGGATCAGGTAGGCCTAGGAACTGACTCTATCATCCTGTGAAGCCATTTGTGTGTAAACAAAAAGTGATAAAACAAAACCACAGGGCATGTATCCAGCACCAATGGGTTCATTCCTCTCTTGATATCATGGTCACATTTTCCATAATGATGGATGATAGTCATTTAGCATCATAATAGTTTGCTTTTACTCCAATAGGTAGATTGATTTCCTTAATCCAAAGTCATATTTGGTATAAATTGTTGAACTTACAGTTTGCCTTACTTTTTTTGTAAAATATATTTTAAGGAATTTATAAATGAAAGGAGTGTTTCATTATAATAAAGATCATTTTGTTGTTTGACGTTTAATTTCCCCATTGCTGATGTCTTTACTAAAAGCTTCAAATCTGAATCAAATAATTTGGTAGCCCCTTTTATTCGTTACTGCAATTTCTTTATATCTTGAATCTTCTGTTGTTCAGCTGATAAGGAATGAGACTAGAGATTAATTCACCCATTCATTCATGCTGGGTAACATCCTATTATATCCTGGACAAATATTCACTAACATGTAATAAAATCATGGGTCCATTTTCTGCGGGCTAGGAGCCTTGCCAGGTGCAGTACATTGTATATTAATGCAGCCTGACCTCACCAAACTTTAGTCAAAATTTTACCCACTGTGAATGGGGTAAGGGTGTTTTGCACTCTCAAATAGATACCAAGTTTATTTTACCCTGTATTTGGGTGCTCCTGGGATACCTTTCTTGTCACAAGAATCATCTTCCCTGTATCCTTTCTATGTCCAAAGACCTATGTTTGGAAAAACACCCAGTTAATTATTTCATGCTGTAATTTATCTTTCTGTTTTCAAGATAATATTTCATCCACATAATAAAAATGAAAGGGGAGAATATCTGTGGGGAGGATTTTTTTCAAAATAATTTTGTATATAAAATTTTTCAATCTTGAACATGTTCAAAGTGAGTTACAGATTTTTTCTATAATGCCTATGTATATATAAATTATACAAAAATACAATACAACTGAAAATTTGGACCCTTTTTATTGGTAAATTATGTTGAGCAATATATATCATACATTATCATACACAGTACAATAAGATATATAAATCTGTATGAAAAAAATAATACATTCATTTACGGTATTCTAGAATTAAAATAGCTGTATTATGAATAATGTAAAAAAAGCAAAGTCTTTGCTACTTCATTATTTGTATCTCACAATTATGAGATACAAATCTTAGCATTAGGGTGTCAAACACATAGCATGAGTAAATAAACAAATAATGGTATTGTTTCACATTACAAATCTCACTGTAAAGCAGAAAGTGCAGCCAGACGACCAGGGGCAGCCATTACCCCACCCCCAGGATGAGCTCCTGAACCACACAAAAACAGGCCTGGAATTGGGGTGAATGGGCCTGGCTGCATTGATGAGGGCCGTGATATAAACAGCTGATCTAACGACATTGAACCGTGGAATATATTCTGAAAAGAAGGTAGATTTGGTGATATTATATTTCAAACAAAATATTTTTGTAATGCTCTTTGGTTTACATGACTAGGCAGCTTTTCTGTATCACAAAACTGTATACTCACCCCTCCTGTAAGACCAAAAATTCTCTCAAGCTCTGGTGGCGGCAATACCTCGTAACCAACAATACTATCCTTGAAACCTGGTGCATACTCAAACAACATTAAAAATCTGTATGGTAAGACAAAATGTTATCAATATTAAATATCATAATCATATGAAAAGGAAGTTGTTTAATGTATTTCCATATCTATGATTATAGTAGATATTACCAAAAATTGCATATAAGATTAGTTTTATTTATAAAAGTACCTACCTTTTTTGCATACTCTTCCTTGGTCTCCTTGTTCCAGGGTCTGCCATCAGCTCGATTGTAAGGAACATACTGTGTGAAGAACAGTGCCACATGGCACCCAGGAGGAGCCAAAGTAGGATCACAGCTGCTGGGCAGAGTCATCTCTATCATTGGGCTGCAAATCAAGATGTGTATAAGGATGTAATGCCTAACAGGGAATTAGAATAGATACTGATTTTATATATATATATATATATATATATATATATATATATATATATATATATATATATATATAATTATACATTTTCAGAATCAAACCATTATCACACTAAACTCAGTCACCACTAAATATCTCATATTATGCAATGTTAAAATTTAATACTCTCAGTGGGATAAAGAAACTAATAAACAGTTTAATGGAAATATAGAGACAAACTAAGTGTACTCGTACTGGATATGTGTACTACAATGCAATGCCATATTAAACAATTTCATTCACGGCTTTCAAATTATGACCACGGTTTCCTTATTATGCTTTTTTTTATGGCAGCAAAATACAATCTTACTTATTTTTTATAAGTGCTTACTTGTCAGGTATGAGTCCTGCCTTTGCCTGCAGATAGGCCTCATCCAACAGCTCAGTTTTCTCGCAATTAAGGTGAATAGTGCAGCGATGATGGGGCATCACAGTATTTTTATTTGTACTGGGATTTGCCTTAAAATTTGGCAGAGATTTCAGGGCAACTGTTAATATGGAAAGAATAAGTGGAACAAGTCTGCCATCTGCACTAATTCTTTTAATATCACTTTTGATTTCTTGAAAGAAAGTATGTATTCATTGTAATTGAATGATTATGAATATATTACTGACAAAAAAAAAAAAAAAAAAAAAAAAAAAAAAAAAAAAAAAAAAAAAAAATATATATATATATATATATATATATATATATACATATATATATATATATATATATATATATATATACATATATATATAATATATATATATATATTATATAATATATATATATATATATATATATATATATTATTATATATATATATTATATATTATTATATTATATATATATATATATATATTATATATATATATATATATATATATACACACACACACATATATATATATATATAGGTATACTATATA